CATATATGAGATCTAATTCCGTAGTTTGTATAATTGATATTTTCCTTAATTATTGGATCGTTATTAATAAAAAAGAATGCTTTCCATCTCATTTTCTTTAAAAGTAATTCCGTTTTGTTTATTAATTTTAATTTAAAGTCTCTTTCTGACGGTATTGAAATGTTTTTTATTAAATAATCAAAGTTTATTTTTTCTATCGCGTTGACGACTTGAGTAAAGTGCTCAACTTTACGGAGCAAATATTTGTATAGATTTCGATATATAGAATATATTCGAGGTTAAGTATTTTGATGTAATAATACGAAGTCTCTTGTACGTGTACAGTGCTTGATGTATGAAGTATGAATTTGAAGTATCTTCTGCAGTAATGCAGAAGATACATCAAATATTGATAGACATTTGATGTACCTTCTGAACAAGGTAAACAAAGTTCATTTTAATTTATCATACAAAATGATAGATTTTTTTTGTTTTGATTTACCTTAATTAAATTTATTATATTGGTAATATTTTTAAAAATAAAAGTAGTAATGTTTGTACTTCTTGATTAGCCAGACTTCTGTAGACATTTTTCAAGTATTTTAAGTATTTAACATTATAAATCAAATACATGCGTTTTTTTATTGTTCATTTTTTTGTTTTACTTTCTTTATTCCATACTTTGTTCGAACAAGTCTTTATAGTCCCATTTTTTTATTTAATTATTTTATGCAAGGAAAATGACCATGTAAATAAAGTTATTAACTATCAGATCTAAATATAAAGTATTAAATGTTTTTACAAAAATAGTTTGTTTTTATGCGTCAACTGCATTTTGGAATCATATAGATATATTTTGTTTGTATAGCAAAAAATGTTTCAGAGCCAAAATTTTTAGGGCCTGCAAAAGAGGCTGATATCTATTGTAAGGTTTTCTCAAAACTTTATAAAGAGCAATTATGTAAAGGCGCTATAAAAAAGAAGCATCTTTTTGGGTAATGGAACACAAAATATAAACTAAAGAACAATGGATTAAGGTCCGTTGCATTTAAATCAATCAGATCATCAAATGTTGATGAACCTTATTTAAATAAACCAAAAACATAAACAAGGTTTTATTTAACTTAACATATGATATTATAGTCGTTTTTAAAACTGTAAAACAAAAAAACATTTTGATAACACAAAAATAATTCTGGAAAAAAAAAAAATCAATTAATGTAAAAAAGATGTTATTGGTTTATTTATTCTGATTAAATTTAATAATGGTGCTAATAAGTCTAGTAAATTGAACGTATTTTTTTCTTAGAAACTGTTCAAAGGAAATTTTCATAGTTAAAATTAGTCCTTGAATTTTTTATTTTTTCGGAAAATCCTGAAAGTCCCGGAAATTTAATTGCAAGTATCCTGGAAAAATATAAAAATGGTCCGGGAAATGGTCCAACTCTATGTTGCACATGGATGTTGTCCCTGTTAGTACAGGGTGGCCACTGGTCATGGAAATCATGGAAATGTCATAGAACTTTATTTGGTCATGGAAAAAGTCATAAAACTCGTAAATTTTCATTGAAAATAATGGAAAGTATATGGAACATCTTAAAATGATCTTAATTTTTTTCTGCTTGTGATATTTTTAGGATGCTAAGAAAAGTACTAAGATGTCTAGCCCTTTTTGAGAAATTTTTTTTTGCCATTTAAGTTATAGATTATCAGAGAAGTGAAAAAAAAGAGTTTTTTTCGGACACGATTTCAGAACCAAATGCTTAGTGCATGGCATGCACTGAACAATTTTCTGATTAGATTTTATCATAAAAGTTTATGAAGAGTTATGAAAAAGTCATCAAATTTCATTTTCAAATTTGAGTAACCACCCTGTAGTTCTTTTGGTGTGCATAGCAAAGGCCCTTCTTACGCAAAAACTCATTGTAAACGTAGTGGACCTGCTTGTGCAGATTTCTCTTTCTCTTTTCTATAAATACTATAAATGCATTCTTGTAATACTTGTATGTATATATATATATATATATATATATAATATATATATATATATATATATATATATATATATATATATATCAGAGCTGTTTTCAAGTCGCTTTGAAGCAAGACTCAAGTCAAGTCTCAAGTCACTTAGGTCAAGTTTCAAGTCAAGTCCCATATAGTGACATGTCAAGTCAAGTCTCAAGTCATGTCATATTACAATAAAAGATTCCCGTGCATGTGGTGGCTATCAGTGACGCGGCTAGGAGTTCGGAGGCCCCTTCCAAAACCTGTCATAAAAACCACGAAAACCCTCTTACAAGAGGGGCATAGTGGAACCTTGCGATGGCTCTGGTAGCTACATTCAAACAGTCTCCTTACAATTATAAAATACAGCATGATAATAATTATAATTTTACTTTATTTACTAAAGTAGCTTTAAAAGTAAAATAAACCATCTGTAATAAAATAGCTAAGGAGTCATAATACACAATACAGTGACATAACACTTCATAAGCTATTTAGCCATTACACTAATGTTTTTATTCTATCATTCTTTTGAAAAAAAAATTACAAATGCTGAATTTCATAAAAAATTATAGTAATAGAGTTTTCTCTTACTCAGTATAACCAAAATTAATTATTCCAGGTACTGCAGGCGTTTTTTGAACTTTTATAGCACTCATAGTTTTAAGACATATATATATAAATATATATATATATATGTATATATATATATATATATATGTATATATATATATATATATATATATATATATATATTTCGTCAATAAACAATCATTTTACAATATTTTTTGTAAAAATTAAAAATTAAATCTTTATATTCTGACAGGAGCAAGTAGAAGACAATGCGTCTTATCACCCTGCTCCTAAGTTCGTGAAAATATCAAATAAGATTTACGTATTAAGTTCCTAAAATATGCGTTATATAAGTTTTATACATATTACAAGTTTTGTACATACTATAACATATTACAGCTCATAAAATATATAAGTTATAAGATGCATATATACGTGTTAACAAGTCAATATATAAATGTTTTTAAAAAAATAAAAAAATGTTTTTATTATTTAAATCTAATAAGTATCGTTTAACTGCGCTTTTAAATAGTTCAATTGAAGTCATGTTTTTCATGTCTCTATTAAGGAAACAATTCCACAAACGTGGTCCTCGTCATTATAAGTGTTAAATTAACAACTTTCTTTAATCTAAACGTGGTTTAGATTAAAGAAAGTTGTTAATTTAACACTTATAATGACTAGTGTTACGAGTTTATTCTAAAAACATCCTGAAGTTACTTCAGTAACTTCTCGGATGCCTCAAGATTGCAAACTTCTGTTGTTTTTTTTAATATTCTATTTTTTGCAAACTTCTATTCAAGTTTTTAATGATTATCTTACTAAAAATCTTACACCTATCCATGGCCTTACATGCTAACAACAGAAATGACAACTTTATTTGCTAAAAAACAACTCCAGTCTTAATAAAAAATCAAATACTTTTGATTTCTCAAAACATCTTGTTTTTGGTTGGGGCTTGAAATTTGAGTTTGGCTAACACCTTCTCACTGTTGTTGTTATCCATTTACAGTTATCACGCTAAGTTCTTTTTTTGAAATTTTTGTCACGAGTTTATTACGAAGAATGCGGCAGGTACATTAGCCAGGGCTAGTTTTGCCATCACTTTAATATTTTTAGGGTCACTAATTAAAAAGTAAATGTATTTGATAACTTAAAATGGTTTTGTTAAAAATATACTTTTTAATGATAACATATGCTCCCGCCATTTATTTAAAATTTTAAAAAATATCATGTTTTCAAGATTTTGGGAGGCATTATTGACAAGTTGGCGCGACCTATAATCCAGAACATACATATTTGAACTCTTTATTTTTCATAATTTTTGAACCTAAATAACCTTGTTCAAATTGCATCCTGCATTTAAATAATATATTTTTTTGTTTTTGGCATGTTAAAAGTATGGTTTGTGATCTTTTGATATACTTTCAGCGTCATACTAGCATAGGCTGTTTGGGCATCCAGGGCTGTCGTTAGGGGTGTACAGAAACTTCCTCGTGCCCAGAGTAGACCATTAAAAATTTACTGGATACCTTATACCTTACCATTTTTAAAGTAAAAAAATACAAGAATAATAAAATACTTGTAGTATTTTTTATCTCCTTATGATGCCCCATAGGCTTGCTGACCGGAGGAAACTAATCCAGATCCCCTAACCTCTGTGCGCCCTTGGCAGCCGTAAATTAAAAGTTTTTTATTAATAGTTTTTACACAGCTACTTTTTTTTTGAACAATTGCTTCCAATACTCTGGCGTCACTAGTTTTTTCAGGTTTTCTATTTGATGATGTGCTTGTCTATTTCAGCACATTTTTTGTTCCAGCCTTCAATTCAGTTGAATTTTTGTTCCCGCTGTCCAATGGAAATGCTTAAAAGCTACCACGTGACTTGATGAACCAATGAGATTTTAACCAATGGTTAAAGAGTGTTTTGTATTGGTTTGTCCAATGGGACGTGATCTGCTATAAAAAATGTGTGTTCCAGTATTGTTTAGGGTCTAAAACACGTGACCGTTAAGTAACCAATGAAGTGTAAGATGGGGTTGGGCATTGGTATTTGACGTCAACTCCGGGACACTGAGATGTGGTTCGCATGCGCACCCCCCGCAAGGAGGTGGTTGCGGGCTTGCGCCTTCGGATCTTTTGTCTAGACTGCGCAGAATCAGGATCTCCAGCAAAGTGTATAAAAAGGTGTGCATAAAAAAAAAGAGTTTATTATTAGATAACAAGTCTAGTAATAGGTCGCATGTTATATTAAAAAAAATAACAAATTATAACTAAATACGTTTAAAAAATATTTTAATAAAAGAAATAATCCTTTCTATATTAAAAAGATAATACTCGTAACGCAACGTGTTATAAACGCGTAGGAGTGTAGGTGTGTTTAAAATAAAAAAATAACCCTTGTAAAAAATAAATTTAATCTTTTTTATTTAAAGTTAATACACGTAACGCATTAAATATAAAAGAAAAAAAAATGTTTATAATATAATCATTTGCATAAGATAAAAAATAATAAATTATTCAAAATCAATTTTTTTATAAGAAAAAAAAAATGAATAATCATCGTATCAACAAACCAATTGCTGTAATTATATTAATTTTTCTATTATATTTTTTTTTTTGCTTTTATTTATATTATATAATATTATATTAATTTTTTTTGTAGATTGTAGAACCTTATAACGCGCAAGATGATATGGTAGAGGAATACAACATCATCATCTATTAGTACCTCATTTACAATAAGTTGGATTAACTCCTTTTAGATTTTGTTGCTGAGTTAGTGATGATGTATTTTTTTGAAATCCTTTTTTGTAGCTCGTTCAGTACAGAATTTTATTTGCTTAAACAAAACGTTTCTTTTGTGTGGTTAGTTAAACACTTCTTTGTAATAGTCAAATTTTTTTGTAAATGGAACTTTACACTGTCAATAAGAACATGCCTCTAGAATGCCTTTCTTTAAAATAATAAAACAATAACAATATATTTCGTGTTACAGATGTTACAAAAACACAGGTCATTGCAAATAGTGATTCACTAATAAAGCCCAATGACCTAAATAAGATAAAAAACAATAATAATAATATGTAATAAGTAAAACCACATAAAAAAGTAGGATATAAAAGGAAGTTAAGTTAAATAAGTTAGCATAATATTAACTAATAAAAGTAAAATTGCATAAAAATTTATCTAATTATCCCAAAAATATCAGACTTTTGAATATATATTTATTTATTTATTTCGTCATATATAAGCATTTTACTATCTTCTCGTTTCCAAGTTTAATAAAATAAATCAAAATATAAAGAATGACAGGAGCAAGTAGAAGACATAAGTCTTGTCGTCAAGCCCCTTCAATTTGCGTAATATATTTTTTACAAGTATCCATAATATATAAAATATAATAATTTATACTCACTATATAAAGCAAGTTGAAATAACAATAATAAAATAAAATTTGCTAAATTAAATAAATAAAGTAAAGAAATTTAAAAGATTAGCTTTACAAGTTTTTTCAAAAAAAAAATAAATAATCATTTTATATTGCAAGTTAAAAATAGCTATACTATAATAATTCTAAAGTAAAATATAGAAATAAAATATATATAAAAATTATATTTTAAAAGTAAAAATATAAAAGTATGTTTGTATCTGTTAAGTCAAGCAAATTCTGTTGAACTACATTTTTAAAAGATTGTATTAAGGTTATACTTTTCATTTTGTCGTCAAGAATTCTGTTCCATAGACGAGGTCTTCTATATGAAATTGAGTAATCTGTTTTTTTTAAAGTTGACTTAGGTAAGTTAAAATTGTGAATAGAGCACCTCGTTAAGTATTTATGAGAAATAATTGAAAAATGATTGTTAAAGAATTTAGGAAGCATGTCGTTTTGATATTTAAGCATAAATAATAGGTTTTGGTACAAATTTAACTCATAGACGTTTAAAGCTTTGATTTCACGCAGTAACGGTATATATAACATAATTAATATAATGTACATTTACATATGCACATATACTTAAACAAGAATTATAATAAAATAAGTAAATTATAATAAAAATAATTATTTTAAATAAAATATTAAAAATAAAATTATAATAAAATAATAAACTATAATAAAAATAAAAAAATAAGTCAAAAGGTAGAAAGTAAAAAATTAAAAAGTAAAGTTAAGCGTAACCTTTTAGGTAGAAATGATGGATTGACTTTAAGAACAGATTCTTGTACCTAAGGATGAGACCTGATTTTAGGGTGTTCGGAAGGGAGTTCCAAGAAAGGATACACTGGTATGTAATGGAACTAATTCCATGTTTACTTGTTATAAGTGACTGATCTTAGGTTATGTCCACATGTTGTTCTATTATTAAAGTAGTTGTGAAATTTAGTAGAAAGGATACCATGTTGTTGATTCCAGACAAATGAACAATTTAAGAACTGAATTAAGTCATAGAAACGAAGAATTTCGAATGTAAGATATAGAATGTCAGTAGGAAAATTTCTCGGACAAAAATGAATAATCCGTACGTTCTATTTTGAAGTGAAACAACTCTAGAGAGACATACGGTTATAGATTGTCCTCAAACCTGACATGCGTATTGTAAATGTGAACCAAAAAGTGGGTGATATATAGAGAGCAATGTTTCAAAGTTAATGTAATTTTGAACTTTTGCTAACATGCCGTTGGAACGGCTTAACTCCAGAGCAAGGTCGGATATGTGTGTTTTGAATGGCAGTTTTTCATCTAACACAACGCCAAGAAAAGTTACTAGACAAAAAAATGAAAGTTCATTTAGTAGTAGACTAGTTCATTTAGTAGTAGACTAGTTCATTTAGTAGTAGACTAGTTCATTTAGTAGTAGACTAGTTCATTTAGTAGTTCATGGGAGGGACTACCAAAGAAGTTAAAAAAAAAAGAAATAGGCAATTTCAATCAAAAGTGAAACAAGAAATGCAGCTTTTTTTTAAAAAAAGCTGCATTCCTTTTTTATCTTTAGAATGCTCATTATTGATACCGTCTTTTAACTGCATCGATTGTCTGAAACACTTTTGATTGGAATTGTCTATTTTCTTTTTTTTTTAACTTCTTTGGTAGTCTTTCCTATGTACTACAAAATGAACTAGTCTACTGCTAAATGAACTTTCATTTTTTTAAAAGATTTACAGCAAAAACATCTTATCAAATTTATAACTTTTTTGTGATATTTCGGTCTAACTTGTATAGACCATCATCAGAGGTAATGCAATTTAAAAAACCGTTACAATATAAAATTTAAAAATGATAAAGAAGCCATTACAAGGACAACGTCAACAAAAATTGTTTTGTTTTTTTGCAGTTTTCTTAAATAGTGGTCTCCAACTATTTACAGCAACATTTACCCCGTTATCCCTGTAAAGCAATACTGGGAATTGTTTAACTTCCTGAGATGTTTGCGTTAATTTCAAGCAATTCCCTTGTTTTACTTTCATGATAATTGCTATTTATACATAGAGTTTTCGGGTGCAGCCAGTCAAATATCTCATGACATTCTTTGCAATGCTCAGTAGCTTCAGAAGCATGCCAAATGCAATTCATACTATTAATTTGGTGTTTTATGCTTCTTTGCAAAATTCTCTTTTTTGTTTCCCATATATAAATTCCCCCACACGAACACATAAGCTCGTACATCTCAGGGTTGCTGTTTGGCATTAAACTAGATTTGTTGTTACAGAGAATTGTTTTTCAATTAGATGGTGTTGTAAAAATAACTTTGACATTATATGTTTTAGGTGCTTTTCGTAGTTTTGGTCCAAGCGTTAGAAGCCAAGGAAGCTTTATTATCGCAACATTATTTTATAATTTTTTTGCAACTTTACTGTTGAGATTGTTTTTACTTGAAAGGTAATTCGATGCATTTGTATCTAGATTTGATCTCTTATGACCGTTTTCAACAAACATATCTATTATAAACTGAATCTCATTGTTAATGTATTTTTTGGAGCAGATTTTGGTGGCTCGTGATATGAAACCTTTAAAAACTCCAGTAATTATTGCAGGGTTGATATTCAAGTCGGATTTTATTTGTATGTTTGTTATTGCTTCTTTACGGTAGACTTAGAAGTCATAATTGTAATTATTTGTGTTAGTTATTTTTATATCTAAAAAATTTAGTTCTCTCTGATTATTTTCAATCTCTGACGTGTACTAAATATTGGAGTCTTGTTGATTTAATAAAATAAGAAATTTGTTATGCTTTTCAACTAATTCAAATCTGACATGGCTATCATCAACATACCTTTTATAAGATTTTAGTAAAAAATTGTTGATTTTTGCAATATGTAGAGCTCTTGTTTCCAAATTTTGTAAGAATGCCTCTGCAATAACAACCATTACTGATAATCCAATTGGACCTGAGTTAGGTATCGTTCTAATTTCATTTTTATTCAAAAATAGCATTGACTAAGACATAGTTTTGTCAATTGGTGCATGTCAGTAAGTGTTAATTTGGTTCTTGTATTAAGATCAGTTATGCCATTGGATTATCACTAATTTATATTTCGGAAACTAAAAAGACTGAATTATCAAAAACTTAGACTGAAATATCACAAAAAAGAAAAATTAGTTAGTACGATGCTGTTTTGATGTTTAACAATACATTTTAACTTTACGTACTACAAGAAATGTCGCTAAAACACTTATCAAATTTGCCTAATACTAGTTAAGGACAATATTATATCTGGTTTAAATAATGCATTTTTGAATTTGTTTTTTTCCCGGATGTAGTTACATCCGAAAAAAATCAGATGTGTAACTACATCTGATTAAAATAATGTATTATTAAAAAAAAGTTTTGAATACTTAGCTTTGAAATATAGTTATTGCAAAATATCATTGGAGTTGTAAAAATAATTTGCTTTGTGACTATATCTTTCGTTTATTTTATATTTTTTTATTTTATTACTTTTATGTTTTTAACTCTATCTGACAAAATTTTATTATATTAAGAGGCTCTATAAAAATATTGAGGTGATATTGTATCATCCGTATCATCTTTGAGTCCCGGTCTGTTTTTATTTTATTTACTGATATTTACCATGTAAAACTCATCTGTAATTTATTTTAACAGCGAAATATAAACTACAAAAAAGAAAAAAGTCATTTATAAAGTTGTTAAAGAACTTGACTCAAAGCATAGATAGTACTCAGTATACTAATTAATTGTCCAAGCAGCTGCCTTATTACTATTAAACTCTTAGCCATAACAAAGGGCTCTAAATGTGGCCTCGACAAAGCACAATAAAAGTGCGAACAGGGACACCATCCATGCGTAACATGGCTTTGTTAATACTCTAATATTTTACAGCTGTTGATGGAATCAGCCACTCTGAAAGCTACCACTGAGTTTGGGAAACCTGACTAACCTGACTACAGCTGTTGATGGAATCAGCCACTCTGAGAGCTACCACTGAGTATGGGAAACCTGACTACCAGCCGGCCTCAGAAGCATAAAACTGAGTTTTAGAGCTGTATTAAGAGATAATAGAATAAGTTGCTTGTCATAAAAATAGAAACACAAACAAATTCCATGCATTGAGTCAAGAAAATCCTGCATTTAACATCCTAAACTGGAAACTATGTATTATAAATATATCTGCGTCAGCCTAATAGATGAAGAAGGAATGCGAGGCTAATTAACAGATAAAACCTGTTTAAAGTCTTTGCCTTTGAGGCCTTCTACAAGACAGTAGCCGGATGCGTTTAACATCTGCCCTAGGTGGATATTTTTATCGAGACACCATTTCTACCCTTTACTCAACAAAGATCCCCCAGGCAGGGGGTGTTTTAAGTTGGAGTTGGGTTCTCCTAGTCTTTGCCTAAAAAAGCGTACCCTGCGCGGCAACATGATATAAAGCA